TTTAACCGATTCTATCCAAATTATCGACAAGCACTTTTGAATTAAACAACTACGAAATGATAATTAATAATCAGTTTGGTTCGAAGTGCCCAGTGATGTAGATATTGAAGTCGCCCACTTTTTGCGTTCTATTCTCTACGCCACTGAAGATTTTCTTAAATTGATGGCATTTTCTGTATTGTAAAATTCAATTTAAAACAGAACGATACTCTTACAAAATTTTGTCCAGTTCGAAAAATTCATTGTATTTGCAAATAAAAAAAATATTTTAATAAAATAAAAATAATAAGTATGCCACACAGTACAGAAACAGATATTGTCAGTTCATGTCAATAGTGCAAGCATATTTCGATTTAACGTTTTAGTTTATTCGTTTTCAGATGTCGAGAATTTTGAAAAAAAATTTGCACACCAGTTTACAGAACTTATATCTCCGTGATATGGATTTCCAGTTTTCATACTTTTTTATTTAGAACCACCACTTAAATTTACGGACCTAAAATGTTTAACACCCTGTATAAACATTAAAAGGGCAAGTATTTACTACCAGTAAATGTTATGCATTAAATAAAGCCACGTACAAACTTTTTAATAGAACCTTCGTAAATGCGAAATGGATGGCATTCTGTTTATAATTTATTATTACAAACTTATTTGCAACATGAAAAACATCGGCTTCTTTCACGGCTGTAAAGGGATTAAAGAAGCCGTTTTTAACACGCTTTTATTAGCTTCACCTGTATGTTTGCTTGCTTGCTTGCTTGTTTGTTTGTTTGTTTGTTTGTTTGTTTGTTTGTTTGTAACCGACTGTTTGGACTCGATTTTGACCCACTTTAAACGGACAGATTTAATTGAAATTTTGTACACTTACGAAGAACCGGTAACAATACAATAATTTGATAAGTTTATATCATTATTATCCTGATAAGGATCGCCAGTCCTTTCCTCACGTATCCTCTGCGTAAGAGCAAAAGCTTAATATGTAAGTACATTCCGCGATTGTCAGCTAGGTCGCGGTGGTCGAGCGGGCTAAGGCAGTCGACGCGAAACGACAGACTCCTCGGGTGTGAGTTCAAATCCCACGGCTGAAATAAAAAAATATTTTTTTTTTCAGAAATATCTGTTGGATCGTAATATGTTATAATATCAGCATCAATAAGCAATATAAATATAGTTTAAAAAAAACTACAAAACACGCTTTCATAGCACATCAAACTAAAAAGTGAAAAATAAATATAGTTTAAAAAAACTAAAAAACACGCTTTTAAAGCACATCAAACTAAAAAGTGAAAAATAATTATTAATATAAACTGAAAACAATAATGAACGAAAAATACTAGTATTATTGTGAACAAAGCGTGGGGCGCTTTGTGCCATATTTTTCGTATATCGAGCAACCCACGCTTTTTTCACAATAATACTAGTATTTTTCGTTCATTATTGTTTTCAGTTTATATTAATAATTATTTTTCACTTTTTAGTTTGATGTGCTTTAAAAAGCGTGTTTTTTAGTTTTTTTAAACTATATTTATTTATGTTGCAAATAAGTTTGAAATAAACTGTACATCCGTAATATGCCGGCAGCATATAAGTATTCTTTACAGTCATACGGAAATGGCAGTATTTCTAGCAATTTCATTGGCCGTTTGCAGATAGCCGCAGGGCTGCGCAGTTATATGACATGTCAAAGTGTATTAAATCCTTTGGGAATCATTTGTCACCAAGGAACTCGTCAGACGATAGAGAAGATATTCGCCTAGCACGCGGTAGGTCCAGGTTTCGAATCACGAACTTATTATTTTTTTTTTTTTAAATAAGTATTTTTTAGTTCGTTAGTAAGATTTTCCTTGCCCTTTATTATAGTTTGTTTATTTTCCTTGCCATTTATTATAGTTTGTTTATTTTCACAATGCCGAATTCCCCTTTAAAAATGATATCTGATGAGCACGCCATGCCGTGGCCTTGAAACGGCCAATGAAATTGCTAGAAATACTGCCATTTCCGTATGACTGTAAGGAATGCTTATATGCATACCGGCATGATTTGACACGCGGCGATGTTACGCGACGCGCTTACGTTACGAAGTTCTGTTGCAAGTCTGAATGCGGCTTTACATGGAGAATTATAAACCCAGTTATTGGTATAATATATAAATAATTCAACAAAAACTCATCTCTTTTTTTAGTTTAGTCAGCAAAGAATACCGTAGAAAACGAAAATTTTACCTCATATGGATAACAATAACTACAATCAGTGTTGTGACATGTATTAACGTGTGTGAATTAAGTGAAAAGATTACAAATTATCAGGATATATTAAGAAAGGTAACATTTACGGGTAGGTCGATTCGATTTTTTATTTTTTTTTATGACAAATTTTCTCGTAAAACTGTAAAAGGTAAAAAATCTCGTCAACGTTTAAAGTCGAAGTACCTGAATAAATTATTGTAACACAAGATTATTAGGTATTTATATTTTAAATTAGTTATTTAAATATCACTGAAATTCACTAAATATTTAACATAATTAATATGTAACATAATTTAAAAAATCATTTGTAGCGTTTGTTGAAAAAGTTATAGCGGGTGTATCTAGATATTTTCAAGAATTATTTATCTGTGGTAGGTATCCTACAAATAAGTTAGTTCTTTAAAAATTTGTTTAAATAAAATTAAGATTAAAATGAAATATTCTACGCAAGGAAACTCTTGGATATAAGAAAATTTAGGACATTATGTTCGTAAGAACTTTCTCTTTATAAAATCACTTGAAGAATCGCCTCTTAAATATTTTAGGTTACTTACCCTGTATTAGCAAAAAATTTTAAGGTTATAAAAACAAATTTAATATTACTTGCCAATAAAACTAATTTTGATATAGGCTTGTGGAAAAAAGCTTATTATACTGTTACATATTTTCAAAGGCAATTTCCTATACATATTTGTATTAGCTCTTTTCTCGTTCTTTCCTCTCCGTCTATTATCCCCAGGAAAATTAAAGATTAAACAAGAAAAAATACAAATCCAATTTTCCTCCATCAAATTATTGTTAAATAACTTGAACAAGCGACGTTGGAAATCAAATAAAAATTTAACGGAAATAAGTATGCTCCAAGGAAGTTGTAAAGCACATGGATTTCCTAGGCTGTATTACGGGGTGGGTTCGCTTTTTCGATGATAACTGCGTTTATAACTCATATTATTAGCCAGTGGTAGTATTTGGCCGTTTAAAATATACAGTGTCATTTCTACATGTAAGAAAACAATTATTTGTAATCTGACCAAAATTGGGAGAGGCATTTTTAATAGTATGGGAAACAAATAGTTGCAGCAACTCTGTGTGCATGGTATTGTATTTTATTTTTTATCGAACATGTTTGAGTTCACAAAAATGTTGCAGGAGACAAAAATGTTGTAAATGATTCAGATTCTCTCTTGTAAAAATGTTTAACCGTTAGAAAGGTTTGTTGAAAAATCATACGAGGTGGTTTATTTCATCTCTTTAAAATACCGCCACAGAAAGGTTTTTTATAAGTAGAATTTGTTCGCCAAATTTTATTTCTCCAAATTATGCCAATGCAATGTCGAAAAAAAAATTAAAACGATACCCCTTTAGCACGATGGAACTTTCCAGAGGACTAATTTTAAAAAAAGTTTTTATGAGCGACCCCACTTCATTTTGTTAAGAAAGCTACCTGCACCTTTTGGTTGTTTCAAGAAACGTACCAATATTTCTAGAGCAGGCAGTGTCAGTACATAAAAAAAATAAGCGGAATTTGCTTAATAAACATATGAGTAGTTTTCGAGAGATTGAGTGTTGAAATTGAAATTTTTTTTACATATTTTTTATTACAGAATCAAAACTACAACAGATATTCGTATTAAAACTAAATATGGAAAAGTTTTAGAGGTTGACAAATACGATTAAGATAGTCCCACTGTGATATCTAGAAATCGAGAGTTAGAGATATATTCCAGAGACGACTAATGTTTGTGAGGTTAAGCTTTTGGCGCCTCTCTTGAAAAATATTAAGTATTCTTTATTTGTTTATAAAAAAGGTACTTTAAAGTCGTCAAAATGCACCTTTTTCGAGTTATTTGAGATTAAAGATGGCGTCATACTCAATTAATGAGCATCGAGTGATGACATGATTTTTTGGTTGTTCATTAATTTGGTTTTAAAGTACCTATACCTGTACTAACAAATATTAATAATCAATATGTAACCTTAAAGCTCCTCAAGGGAGTTGGAACCTTTAATGTGAAGCTAACACTGACGTGGTGTTCTACAAAACACCGAAACACTATAATGTACTCGACGCGCGTTTCGCCAACCAAGTTGGCAGCAATGGGAAGTGATTAAAATATGTTTAACAGTTTTAATCATCTCCAGATAATGCCAAATTTGTTGACAAAACACACGTCGAGTACAGCATATGATGTTTGGGTGTTTTATGGAAAACCACATTAGTGTTAATCTTAAAGCTACTAACTAGGTACCTGATTATCTACATTAGTAGATTATAAAGTTCAAAATGTTCAAACTTTTATAATAAAAGTATTCAAATTAAAACTATGTGGTACGCATAACAGAAAATCTTATATAGCGATTGATGTCTATCTCTGACACATGAATTTATTCTTGTGCTGTGATGCATTATTTAGATAATTTTTTTAATGTCTAAACAGTAGGTACCTATAAAACCTACTAACTCCTAAGACTAAAAATATAGCGCCTGTGAGCAGAAAAATCGTGTTATTAAATAGCCTGAGATAGGCCTGCAATTTGCCTAGAAGGTCATGCCAACGAACAAGTTGATATAACAATGCCCCGAGAGAGCGTCTTTTCTATAAAGTTCCACTCCGAGGTCTCGTTTTAGTTTCGTAACTGGCCCCCGAGACGCCGGCAGCGCGTGCCCTGCCAAGGAAAACAAAAAAAAAAGTCCAAGTAAATTTCCAGCATCCCATGCTTGCTAAAATTATACAATACTGAAATCTAAATGACTGATGGTCGAATGGTAATGTAGTTGGCTCTCACCAAATAGTTCCGGATTCGATCCCCGGTCGTGGCAGTGGAATTAACTGTGAGAGAGTTTACTTCCACTTATACACGAATATTGGGTGTGTATCCGTTGTCTCTGAATATGTACCCCCTCCCGCACAACGTTAGTAGTACGTGGTGTTATTATTATTATATAATATGTATGTATATTCCTGCAAGTTTTGTCTGTAGCAAGAAATGTCTTGTTTACGTGAATTCTTTCATAGATTTGCAAAAAACAAAATATTAAACTAGAAACATTGACAACTTATGTGTTTTCAAACATTGTTTATTTATATAGTTTAATTTTATTCCTTCTGTCCTAACTTGCCATAAGGGTATTTTACTTAAATTTACAACACGATAGTTTAAAAATTTAGATGTGACGAAAATTATCCAAATGGCCATTTTTTGAAAATAATTAAAAGTGCCTACTAAATAAAGTAGCTACTTTTTAAGACTATGCATGCATGCGTAGTCTAAATGGTATATTTTTATACAAATTTTTAAAATAATAATTAAATTAAACGGCTTAAACAATTCAATGTTTATCCAACTAAAAAAAAATTATAACTCGGTTGGTTTCAGCTCAGTTAACTAAATTTAACTGCCTAAAGGTTCCACAGTGAACAAAACAATCATCTATAATAAGTTAATGTGACGGTAAATAATTTATGACGTCAGACCATTCTTAATGATATTGAACACAGCTAATATAAAACAACCATAGTGATATTCGGAACGTACCTCAACTCTCGCGCCGTTCTTTGCAATTTCGCTACGGTAGAGGCTACGCATTTTATCTCTACGTTACGGATTGCTACGATTTTACCATTTAAAATGAAATGGAAAGTTTATCGGTGGGTCTGCAGATGCAACGTGTTTTGATCGATCCATAAACTTTCTTTATTCGTAAGTGTATCCGTATCTCTTAAATCTGTGATTATTTTGTTAAATTTGTTTAAAAACTTTAGTTATATACTTATAGTGCCATACATATATAAGAGTGCTGTGAATTATTATAAATTATTATCTACCCAATTATTGAGGAAACAACATTCAGGTAAACTAACCTCATTATGTTTTACATATGACTTAATTAGGTTTATTGCTACAAGTGTGCAAACTGTAAATTAAAATATTAGGGCGGTTCATTCATTAATCATTAGTCCTCATTGATTCGATCTTCAAAACGCCACTGTATAATGTTTATTGTTAAATATCATCTTCCAAATCCACGGGGGGAGGGGGGCAGAAAACGTGCTTCTTACAATTTGAAACTTTTCTGTAATGCCTAGATATTGTATTGCCAAATAATTCATTTAACAACTTGTTAAATTTAAAATACCTATCATAGTTAATAATTCACATAATCGAGCACAACATAAGAAACGTACACTTTTTTGAACATTTTCCGTCATTATTATTATACATACCTACCCAGGTGTTGTATAGGACCTACATAGAATAGGTAGATGGTAGATAATAATATGTTTTTAATTATATCAAAATTTTTTAATTTAGGTACATTTGTAATTACAAAGACGAGGTGTAATTAAAAGGTATCTTGGCTGCGCAATTGTTAAAAACGGAAATAAGATTTGTAACACAAAAGTGTCATTAAACTGGCGGCTATTTTTAAAAACAAAAGCTGCTAAATACTTACCCACCCGTCCTTTTTCTTCAAATTTAGATTTGACATTTTTGTTCACTTCATTAAATTATTTAGGTTTCACATGTTATTCTTTTCTTAGACGCAACAAGCCTTCTATTTTTTTTTCAGATGGCCATGACTGTCAAATTCGAACAATGAAGCCAAACGCCATTTAGACCGAAAAACGTCATTTTTAAACTTTTATAAATAAAAAAATATAAAAACCAAAGATATTTTGTATATTTAGTTATTGTTATTAATTTTAATCCGCGTTAATTTGAAATTGTTAAGTATAGCCAAGTTTTACAATATTAGTTTGTACGTTACATATTTATAACAATTATTATAACAATGAGTATTCAAGTTACACCAAGAGAAGGAACATTCTGCAGGTTCAATCTTCGAGGAATGTGCCGATTCGGTACAAGATGCAGAAATCTTCATGTAACAAGACTAACAACACTCACCACTCCAAAGGTTGAAGTGGGTAATCTCGCGGATAATGAGGTAAGTCTTCGTTTATTGATTAAATAATAAAAAGTGTGCAAATGCAAACAATATGAAAGAATACAAGAACCGTTGCATGTAAGAATTTTAACAAAAGGGGTTTTCGGTACATTACCTATGTCACTTCTGTAATTTAACCAACCTAAATAATAATATCGTACCGAGTATGTACAGTAAACATTATAAAACCGCATGGTAGATCGGTCCTATTTGTCAATACATTCAAGTTTTTCGGTATTGTTTTTGAATGTGGTTATACTGGTTATTTAACCTTGTGTTATTTTCTCAGTTCGTTAGTAGATTAAATATGTAATTGAATTTTAAAACTTATTTATAGATATAGATATGGTGAGATTTGAAATTAGTGTGTAATGAATAGATACCTATCAGTTATAGCAAGAAAATAATGTTCTTAAAAACTTGCCTTGAATTTGGCATATGTACTTAATACAAAAATATTTTCGGTGGTCGTATCACCATAGTCGGGAAAATAATAATTGCGAGTTAGCAGTTAGCTTAGTAGTTACTCAAGGTATAAAATGGGTTGACGGATTCTATAATTTTTACTTTGTTGTTTTGACAACCTGTAAGGTGGCAGAAATACTCCAGGGAAATAAGGTAAAAAAAAGCGCCATCTGTGGAATGAGGCCGAACAAGCTAAGTTTTTGCAGAGGCCTTCGTTTTGATGTTCCAATGAAGCACAAGAAAATCTCATATGCCTACCCTTGTGCGTCTTGAGATATCGAAGGTCAAAGGTCATGAAAATCGGTTTTTCGCGAAAATTTCGTTTCCAGTGCATCTGACGTCGTAAGAACTCATAACAAAACTTACGTAAAATAGTATTCTCTACAAAATTGTTCATATACATTTTTTTTCGTACGACCAACCGTTTTCGAGATATAGCATGATAAAGCGGGAGCGCGCATTCGTAATAGGTAATACTGTATTATACTGCAGAGCTATAAATATAAACGCACTTTTCTTAATCTGTTAGACTGGAAAATTAAATTTCCATTATTAAAACCGTTAAAAATTTGTTTATTTATAAAAAAATATATAATAAATAATTAATAACAAAACAATGTATTATTTTCACACCACTTTTGTGAAATGAAATGCTTATTGAACAACTACAAGCTGTCAACATCGCTACAAAACAAGCCAAGGATGATGCAGATGTTCTAATCATCGAAACAGCCATGGAAGTATCGGAAAAAGAAAGAACCGCCATCATCATTGGAGAAGACATTGATTTGCTTGTTCTCTTAATAGGACGAACTCAGTCACATCACCGACAAATTTTCTTAAAGAAAATTGGCAAAGGAACTACATCAACACTAATTTATTCGTCTAAAAGTCTCGACAAATATCGTCTTTGCAAAGAACATATTTTGTTTTTGCATGCCCTCACTGGATGCGACACTACATCGGCACTATTCAACAAAGGAAAACTTAAGGTTATGACAATGTTTGAGAAACATCCCGATTTGACTCACTCGGCGCAAATATTTCAAGCAGAAAACTGCCCGCCAGATACAGTATTTCAGAACGGAAATCGTTTTCTGTGTATGGTGCTCCAAAAGATGAAGTGAACCTTGACAAATTTAGATACACCCAATTCATTAAGGCTACATGACTTAATAGACCTGTTAAATTGTCATCCCTTCCACCTACCAGTGAAGCAGCTCGACAGCATATTTATCGGGTCTACTACCAAGTACAGATTTGGCTAGGGAAAAATCTACAACCCGAAGAACGGGGTTGGGATTTAAAAAACGACATATTACAGCCGAAAACAACACTACTGCCACCTGCTCCAGACGACCTATTAAATACAATATTCTGTAATTGTAAAAAGGGGTGTGGTGTGCAGTGCGGGTGTAGAAAAGTCGGGCTGCCATGCTCCAAAGTTTGTGGTCAGTGTCACGGACAGCCATGCCTGAACCCGTCAACAGAGTTGCAAAACATTGAAGACTTCAGTGACCTTGAGCCTGAAGAGATTTTGCCAACAGACATAGAGCCAACAGATATAGAGGAAGCGTCTGACGAAGATAATGTGTTGATCGAGGTGCTAATGGAACCCGACGAAAACGAGGAGGAAGGCAAGGAAACATAAGGTGTGGTGTGGAAAAGAATGTATTTTTTGTTATTAATTATTTATTATATATTTTTTTATAAATAAACAAATTTTTAACGGTTTTAATAAGGGGAATTTAATTTTCCAGTCTAACAGATTAAGAAAAGTGCTTTTATATTTATAGCTCTGCAGTATAATACAGTATTACCTATTACGAATGCGCGATTTTTCTTACACTATGCGAAAGATTCTTTCCTGAAATATACCACACTATTTTTTATTTCTGCGAAAGTAACTCGTAAAACTTGTTAGAACGCGTCATCATTTATGTTTATGAGGCGGTATATTTAGACTAGGATTTTTCTAATTCATTTATTCATTTCTAAAATAGGATACCTTTTTATAAAGGTGGACCCAACAACTGTTTATGACTTGAATTATATTATGGGATCCCCATATAGGTGTAAACTCATAGGAATCATGGACTTTTTATTACCAATTGCTCATCTGTTTTGTATTTATTTATTGCATGTTTATGGCAAATGAATTGTTTAGTTTAATTACCTGTATAATCTTATCTAAACTTAATTTTATGGTTTTGAACTTTGTAAACTTTAAAATCTCGGTAATGCAACTAACGTTAAATATTGGGAAAGCAAAAGGGATGTATGAATTCGAGTAAATTCCAGTTTGAAATAATGAAGGTGTATGTTCTCAAACTGACCTGATCTGAACAGTTTATTGCTCTTAAATGAAATACACTGATTGATATCTTGTAATGGACTGTAATTTC